CATGATGATACACAAGAGCTGACATGCGGTATCATATCCAGTCCTCCTCTCATTAGACATTGGATTGATTCCTATTTTTGTCTTCCGTGGGAGACACTTGAGTAAATAGCATGTGCCTGTCTCTTTTCCCTCTCTCTGAGGGCATAAATTAAAATAAATTTCCAGTCATAGGAATTACTAGATCACACAGCATAAAAACAACTCATGGCTTTTGAAATGTATTTCTACTTACTTTCTGAAGGAATAATACTGTCTTTGGGGAGGTTTTGTTGAATTGCACCCAGGGCCCCACATGAGGTAGGTAGGTAAAGTGCTCCACCATTGAGCTGTAGCCTCAGTCCTTTTTAAATTTTGAGACAGGGTCTTGCTCAGTTGCCCAGGCAGGCCTTGAGCTTGTGATCATTCTGCTTTGCCCTGCCGCATAGCTGGGATTACAGCTATGAGTCTCCACGCCAGCCAGTACCAGGTTATATGGCCATCAACAGTGCACAGCAGTGCATACTTTCTCTGTGTCTTTGTCAATGGTGGCTTTTAGAAATTATTCTTCCTCTAAGTGGACAAAATAATGCAGATTAGTGGAGGAATCAAGGTCTAATTGAGGATTTAGAAAGCCTTTAAAAATATAATAGAGGAAGAAATAAGACCTCTAAGGTAAAATATAAAATATAGAGGGGTAGGGATGTGGCTTAGTAGCACAACATAGCATAAGCCTAGCATGTGCAAGGCTCTGGGTTTGATCCCCAGAGCCACAAAGTGCGTGTGTGTGTGTGTGTGTGCGTGCATACAGAGACCTTGCTGCTAAGTCGCTAAATTGCCTGGGCTGGGCTCAGACTTTCCATCCTTCTGCCTCAGCCTCCTGGAATGCTGTGTTTGCAGGTGTGCACCACCAGGCCCAGCTCCAAAGCTCTTCTAATAATTGTCACTCATTCTGCTTACAGAACAGTAGTAGCTGACACTGATTGAACATTTATTAGGGGTGGGGATTTAGCTCAGTGGTTCCGCCGCCTGCCTCGCAAGCACAAGGACCTGAGTTCGATCCCCGGTATTAAAAAAAAAAATTTATTATTTACCCATAGTCCTAAATGCCTTGCACACACTAACTATAAATTGAGTCCTCACCGTAGCACTGTGTCAGTGGTGTTACCTAAATTTTACAAATGACAGACCTTAGGCACCAAGTGTCGATGGCACCCTCAGAGCTGCAGAGGGAGTGGCTGATGGGCTAGCATTTGATCCCAGGTACCCATACTTACTGTGAGGCGGCCCTGCTTGAAGCCTGCTCAGCTGCTCCCGGCTTTCCTGTCTCTGCACCACTTTGGTTTGCCCACTGCCTTCCACACACCCTCTGCCCTGCTGCACCCGCATCCCTGCCCTTCAGCGTCTCAGCTGTGCTCAGGCCACTGGACTTCCTCCTTTTCCCACTCCCTGACTTCACAGGGGCCTGGAGAATTTTGTTCCTCCCCACCTTCCTCCTGCCCACCCACTGCAGGGGTGGCCTTGCCCTCTGCCTCATCCCAAGCCTGTAGGGTTAGTGTATAAAATCTGCTAAATCCCATAACACGCTTATCTCCTCAGCTATAATCTTAGTTCTTGGCTCTTTTTTTTTTGTTTTAACTTTTCAGAATAGCTTTACAATTACAGAAAAATGGCAGATAGTACAGAGAGTTCTCATAGACCCAGTGTCCTTGGTTTAACAAGTTATATGGTGGATTAGTCACAATTGATGAACTGGTGTGAACAATTTAGGAGCTAAAATCTAGACCTTATTCTGATTTTAGTTTTATCTAATGCCCTGTGCCTTTTCCAGAATCCAATGTAGGATACCACATTACATTTAATCATTGTGTGTCCAAGTCACTGTTGTCTATGACAGTTTCACAGACTTTATTTGGGTTAGGTTCTGTAGGGTGTCCCTCAGTTGGGGTTGGTCTGGTGTTTTTTCTTTTTACTTTATTGATTCATTTTAGATATATGTGATGATCACATTCAGCATAGGGAATTTGTGTCTGTACGTGATGTATCTTGCTGCTGCTTTATTTCCCTTTCCCTCCCTTCAACCCCTCTTCTTATTTACAAAAGCTTTGTTTCCATTTTTTCCTTCTGTTCTCTTTTTCTTCTTGTCCCTTCTTTCCTTTCCTCCACCTCCCTCCCTTGTTTCCCTTCTCATTTGAACAATTTCTTCCCATTTCCCAATATCTATTATACATTTTGGTCCTTATTTCCACTTTCGGTTTCTCGCACCAGAGAAACAGTATGGTATTTAAACTTGTGTCCGCTCTATCTCACTTAAGAGTATGGTCTCGAGGTGTGTCCATTTAGCTAGAAATGTCTCAAGCTTATCCTTCTTTATGCCAGAGTAGTACTCCAGTGTATTAAAAAACCACATCTTCCTTACCCGTTTGTTGGTTGATGGGCATTTGGGCTGTTTCCAAGCTTTAGCTATTACAAACTGCCACTATAAACATGAGTGCGCATATATCGCTGTGGTATGATTCTTTTAATTCTTTCCGGAAGATACCAAGAAGGGGAGTAGCTGGGTCAAGTGGAACCTCTAGTTTCAGTTTTTTGAGGAATCTCCACACTGATTTCCACAGTGGTTGTGTCTGGTGTTTTTTCATAATTAGACTGAGGTTGTTTGGTTTTGGGAGGAAGAACAAGAGGTAAAGTGACAGTCACATCATGAAGGTGCTTATTTTATACTTCCTACTACTTTGTTTATCTCATCCTTCAAGTTGTCTCAGCTCTGGCCACCAACCAGGAGCTTTCTCCCCTGGCTCCTGTTTCCCTTTGACAAAGTCCCATCCTTGTAGGCTTTTTCTTTTTCTAACACTTCCTTACTTTCCAGCTTTACAAGGTATTCCAGACTCATCTTACATATGTCCTGCCCTAGGCGTAGAATCGGCCATTTGTCCGAGAAGTCCTGGCTCCCTTTGTTGGAGGAGTGGTGTTAGCAATAAGACTGTGACAAGGGGTACACCTCACTTCTGGGGTGGGGTGGTGCTTTTAAGCTCTTTCATTGACAATAAGGAGATAACAGTCAGTCGTCACTTAACAGTGGGGATATTTTCTGGGAAATGCGCTCTGGAGCGGTTTTGTGGTTTTGTGGCAAGCATCACTGGGCATGCTTACACACTTTGTGACAGCATGAGATGACATGGTCTTATGTGACCTCCATGCTATATGTGGACCGTCTTTGTTAAAAGCATCATCATACAGCACATGACCCTATATGTACTAAGCAGTGTATATATACAGATCTGTAAGTACTGATGCATGGTCATCCGTATCCGTACTAAGCCAAGCATGAGCTGATACCAATGTTGCCCCCTCTAATCCATTCTGTCATTCTGTCCTCAGTTACTCTGGTGTGAATAACCCCGCCATCCATTTGCTTCCCTGTTCAGTCCGATATACGTGATGGTGGCTGAAGAATCACCATTACCCTGTGGGAAACAGGCTTATCAGCTGCGGTCCAGGGCTGTGGGCTGTTGCACAGCCACCCAGACCAGCACCTTCCTCCCCTCACCCCTTCACAGAGCTTGTTCAGACAGTTGTAGTGCAGTGAAATCCATGTGCGAGCTTTTGCTCTCCATCCTGGGGTCTGTGGCCTCCTAAATTTGGGCTTTTACAATTTTGCATAACTACGGTTTAGTTCTTTGTGTTGTAGCTCTGTGGATTCTGTCACATGGGTGGCGCCATGCATCCTCCACTGTGGTACTGTACCACAGAATGCTTTCACACCCTGAAAATCCCTCGGGCTTCACCTCTTTACCCTCTTCCCTGCCCCTACTCCTGTTCACCATCTCTGTAGTTGTGCTGCAGAATTGGAGTTACGTGGTACACAGGCTTTTTAATTGGCTTCTTTCGCTTCATAGAATACTTTTAAAGATTTATCAGTTTCTTAACAGGGGGGTGGCACATGCCTATAATCCAAGCTCTCTGGAAGGCTGAACCCGGAGGATTGCAAGTTGGAATCCAACCTGAACAACTGGAAATAAAGCAGTGCCAGACAGTTGGGTGCTGGGTTTTGTGTGCACTTGTTTCCGATCAGTTGAGTAAACGCCTAGGAATATGATTGCTGGATTGTATGATAAGATTAATCTTGTTTAGCTTTTTAAGAAACTGCCAAAGTTCTCCACAGTGGTTGTACAGTTTTGCACTCCCCCTGAGGAGGGGTGCAAGTTGAGTTCTCTACATTCAGGTTTTTGAATTGTAGCCATTCTAATAGATGTGTTGTGGTTTCTTGTTTTAATTTTAGTATCTTTGAATTCTTACACTCCCAGGACTAAGCATAGTAGCTGGCAAGAAGTAAGCACTTTATTATTGATTACTGTCTGCTTACTATATTGAAAGAATGAATTAGGTGGATTAATTTTGCTCAGGGACTTGAAAGTTGCACCACATGTCTAGGCTTTTCTTTTTCTTTTAATGAGACAGGTCTCGGTGTGTGGTCCAGGCTGGCCTCAAACTCATGGTCCTCCTCTCCAGCCCTCGGGGTGTTGGGGAGAGGGCTCCAGCCTGTGTTGAAGAGCCAGGAGAACCTTCAGCCACAGAGGGTTTTTTGTGTTGTGTTGTGTGTTGAAGATCAAGCCCAGGGCCTTGCACATGCGAGCCGCACAGTCTGTCTCTGAGCCTGTCCCCAGCCCCTGCTGCACAATTATCGGCACTCCTTTTCCAGCGCTTTGACTTGAGACTCCAGCAGGACTGTTACAGCCCAATGTTAAACCTTGAGGGGCCAGGTGGGGAAGCCGCCCTGTGGCAGTAGTGGGCATTGTAGATGGTGGGAGCCATACAAAAGCAGCAGACCTGGTTTGTGGGGTGTCAGGATCTTGAGTGCTGCTGGGTCTCTTGGTGAGAGCTGGAGAACCACCTCTGGCCCCTGGCTGTGCGGTCTGGAAGAGTCGCTGTGCTCCCTCAGCTCTCTCCTTTTTTAGAGTGCCCTTCGCTCTCCGGGCAGATTTGTGTGTGTGTGACTGTAATCCAGTGTTGTATGGTTACAGGACCCAGTCATTCGCAGGAGCAGCAGGCCAGTAGCTCTGAGGAGGCATCTGGAAAGGAGGAGGAGGAAGAGGAGGAGGAAGACAATCCCAGCTTCATCATGGGGCGATGAGGTTGCACAACAGCTGTCATGAGCCTGTCCAGAGCCTCAGAAGACCTCAGTGCAGCCTGCAGGGAAGAAGGCTGTCTGCCTCTGTCCCCACAGACTTGACGCTTAGGGAGCACATGGAAGCCCCAGTGCTCTCTGTCCTGCCTGGCTGGGGGGACGGAGAGACTGTTCTAGACACCGCCTCGCAGTGTCCCCCCGCCACGTTCCTGCTGGAAGGGGGAAAGTGCCTCACCGGCACCTGGCACCTGTTCTCACAGACAGCGATGAGCTTGGGGCTGGCTTTTGGAAGGGAACATTTTTCTAAGTAAAGAACAGAAAACCTTTAGGTTTTGTTCAGACTTGTAAAACACTAATTACCAAAGCTGTAGAGAGGCCGTGAAATGACACGATAGAGACAAGGCCTCAAGATTCAACAGGTCCTGTGAGGCGGACCTGCTCCCAGACTCAGGCCAGGATGCAGCCATGACACCAGGGTTAACTCAGGTGCAGACACGTGAAGGGAGCTCGCTGTGTGGAAAGAACTGTTGGGGAAGCTGGGTGGCTAGAGAAATAAGCAGGGAGAGAATCCAGGCTGGGTGAACCTGGTAGAAGCCCAGAGGGGTCCTCGCCAAACTGGAGGGGCTGGGTATCCATCAGGAGCTGCATTTTCATCCGGAAGCTAGGTGGGGGGTGTCTAAACAGAACGGGGACTGAAAGTGGCCAAACTTGGCAGTTGGGTGGAACCCTTAGGGACTGCTCTCTGCCTGGGTCACATGGGCGCTGGGGGCAGAGGCGGCACTCCACTGTGTTTCCAGTCCACATGTGTGCCCTGGCCAGAATGGAACCGGGACCTCCAGAGTGCAGGGCACTGTGCTGGGAGCCAGGGGGCATGGCAGGTGACCCAGGACAGCTTTGACCTCAGTGCCTGCAGGCAAACATGGTTGACAGAGTCGGTTTCAAGTTAGAGCTTTTGCTCCAGTTTTGGATTATCTCCCAACTGCTGAGTACAATGTGTGCCTTTTATGGACTGGAATGGCATTGAGGAAATAGTTACTTTGAGTGATGGAAAACCCAGGGACGTTTTCTTTTACTTCTATACCGTAGATTTCCCTGACCCTGCCCTGAGCCACATGATATCTCTTGATAATCTGTCCCTTTGGTAGCTTAAGTCACCCCAAAATTTTCCTCCCCAAAAAGCCAAAATGAAGCATCAGCCTTAATAAATTAACACATACCCTGGCCGTACATTTTGGAATCTGGATTTCTCTTGTGTCGGGGACTGGCTGGTTGTCTGTGACTTGTTTTTAGTTCTCTCTCTGGACTCTTGGTTTCCTCATCTCCGTTCCCCTACCCTCAAATGTGTGTCAGCCAGGACCTTGTCAGCCTCCTCTCACCCAGAGGCCACTGAGGGTACCCACTTGGGTACCCAGAGGCCTGGGTTTGAGTCCTGGCTTGGCCTCTTGTAAGTGACTGGGGCAAGTCCCTTCCTGCCTCCTCCAGGTCACCTGGCTGCCTGAGTGAGAGGCACATTCAGCAGATGTGTGGTGAGTGGCCGGGCGAGTAGCTGTTGAGGTTAGGCAGAAAATGTGCTGCGGCAGTTTCTGGCCATTGTTAGGGATCATCGGTACTTCCCACAGTTTAATGATGCTCCATCTCCAGGGTATTATTTGGGAATAGAAGATAGTTAGATGTCATCATAAAGAAGGGAGTAGGTAAGATTGAGTGCACCCCCAAAAAGAAACTATAATTAGGGGAGAATCATGAAATCATGGTCTTGTTGATGGCTTATGGGTGGAGACTAGTCTGGGACAGAACTCAGGAATGCATGTAACATACTCTCCTGTCATAAAACCTCAGGAGTGTGCAGCCATCGGTCCTGAACGCGCTGTCTTACCTGATCTCAGAAGTTAAGCGGGTCAGCCTAGTTAGTGCCTGGAGGGGAGAAAACTTCTGTGTAAGGATTCTGATTCACCAACAAGGTAGGCCTCTGTTCCCTCATCGCTAACATATGTATCAAGCACTTTATATAGCACCCCGTGTCAGGCCAAGCTGTTCATATTTTTTACTACAAGATTCATCCACCAGCAAGTAAGTGCCAAAGCTTGGATTTGAACCCAACCAGAATGACTAGAGTCTGTCATATGGATGTGCTGTCCTGGGGAGAAGCGTGGCAGGGAGGGCTACCTGGGGTACCTGCCAGGTCTGTGGGCTGCAGAACCCTCCTTTCACAGGTTCACAACAGTGGTATATGCATGACTGTCCCTTCGGGTGGCTTTTCATTTTATTAGTAAAAACACCAATAAACATGATTAGATCCGTTTTTACCAGCAGTGGTACCAGCTGCCCGATGGGACACACGCGTGTACCACTGGTGGTTCAAACTGGCAGGGTGGGGACATGTGAGCTGGCATGAACACAGGTGCCTGTGTGCGTGACTAATAGTACAGCGCAGTATATCATAAAGTGTGTAGTTGATTCTCTATTCATGGATCCCATATTTGTGAATTTGTTCATTAAATTAATTTGTAACCCCACAATCCATACTCACCTTGCTTTCATAGTCATTGCAGACACACTGGTGGAAGTTTGAGCTGCCTGACCATGGCGTGTGTCCCCACCTGAGGTCAAATAAGGCAAGGCTGGCTTATATCAGCTCATCCTACACAGTGTCCTCGAGGTGTGTTTAGTGGCAGATTTTCTGCATTTTTTTTGCTTTGTCTTGGAGATTGTTAATGTCGCACAGGCATAGTGCTGAAGTGCTGTCGAGTGTTTCTGAGTGGGGGAAGGCTGTGGTGCGCCTTGTGGAGAAAACCTGCATTACAGTGCTCTTGGCTGTGAGCCCGGGGTTAATGAGTCAGCAGTAGGAAGTGCCTAAGGTGCCTTCAAACAAACACACTAGACAAGGTGATGCACAGATCAGCTTTGGAAATGTGGTCAGAGGCTCGCAGGAGCCCAGTTAGTTGTTCCCTGAGGAGCAGGGGTTCAGGACTAGCTGACGTCGTGTCTGGTGGCTTCACAGAACAGAGCTACTGTGGATAATGAGTTTGGGCTGTTGGAGTGAGGTGAACAGCCTGGGAGCACAGAGAGGCATTTCCCAAAGCAGGGAACTGAACCCAGCCCCTCTTCTCACTGGGAGAAGCCGGCAGCTGTTCCGCTCAGTCCTGTGTTGAATGAGGGCCCACAGATGTCACACTGCAACCCAGCCCTGGTCGCTTGTCCTCAGACTTCTGCTTTCCCCTCCCCTCAGACCTCCACCGCTCCCTCCTGTGGCCCTCACCACTGCAGAGCCTGGAGAAAGCAGAGAGCCCTTGGGCCTGCCCCCACGCTGTATACCAGCCCACAGCACCTGGGCGCCTCTGTCTCCACCCTTGTATGGTGCAGACCCCACAGGTCCCCTGAAGGTCTGGCTCCTCCACCTCCCCATAGGCCAACAGACAAGCCTGGGAGTCCGCTGTTATGATAGTAAACAAGGGCCCTCTCGTCCTCCCGCCCAGGCCATCCCAGGGTCCTATTTACTTCCACCTCTCCCTGAGCCATTGCCCACTGAGTTCTCCCTCACCAAATCAGCCCTCGGTGGCATGGTGGACAGCCTTTCCCACTTAACACCCCCAACATCCCTTCCTGCCCCTTCCTGCCCTCCCTTAAGTGTGGGAGTGGTCAGCACACTGTCCTCTGTTCACAGCAGGCCTGGGAGATCCTTTCTGGCTTCAGTGCTGTCCTCCCAGGTACCTTCTGTGTTTGTCTGGGACTATGTCTCCCCTGGAGCCCTGCATGCCTGGGTTCTGTCACCTGCTTGACAACCTTGGGTGTCTGACAGCACCTTGAACTTAGTGTAAGAGAAAGGGGAATTTGAGCCCCAGCATTTCCCCCTCCATCTTTCTACCTCAGTAACTGCTTGTCACCCTTGATTCCTGTTTTTCCTCCCCCTCCCCTCAGTCCTCCATTAACCAAGGCCTGGACCTTCTTGTTCTCGAGGTGTCTGCCCCATCTCCCTAGTCCACACCACTGGCTTCTGTAGCCCGGTAGTTAATGCCACCTCTGCTCTTACCCCATCCTCCATGCAGCAGCCAGGGGAACACTTTACAAATGGAAACCAGATCTTGTGACTGCCAGTGTAAAGTCCCCAGTGGCTTCCCTGACTTGTAATAAAATATGAGCTGCAGCCGGGGATTTAGCTCAGTGGTTCCGCTGCCTGCCTCGCAAGCACAAGGTCCCGAGTTCGATCTCCGGTACCAAAAAATCCAACAAAAAAACACATCTTCTTTATCAGCTTGTCAGCTGATGGGCATCTGGGCTGTTTCCAAGATTTAGCTGTTACAAACTGTGCTGCTATAAACATGGGTGTGCATTTATTGCTATGGTATGATGCTTTTAATTCTTTTTGTTTTTCATTAAGTTTGTTGGTACATTTTAGGTAGACAATACAGTTACATTCGTCATTGGGATCTTGTACCTTTACATGATGTATCTTGGTTCTTATTTTTTCCCCATTCCCCTGCCCTCCCTTCACCCCCTCCACCCCCTCCACCCTTCCCTATTTACAAAGACTTTGTTTCCATTTTTCCTTTTCTCATATTTTTTCTTTTCCCTCCTTTCCTTTCCCCTACCCCTCCCATGTCCCCTACTCCTTTAAACCTTTTCTTCCTATTTCACATTATCAATTATACATTTTGAACCTTATTTACACTTTTAGTTTTTCACCCCAGAGAAACTATTCGGTATTTACACATGTGTGTCCTATTTATTTCACTTAAGAGTATGGCCTCAATGTGCATCCATTTAGCTATAAATGTCTCTAATTTCTCTTTTTTTACTTTCTCATTCTTTATGGCTGAGTAGTTCTCCATTTTACAGAAAAACCACATCTTCTTTATCCAGTCTCCAGTTGAGATGCTTTTAATTCTTTCAGGAAGATACCAAGAAGGGAAATAGCTAGGTCAAGTGGAGCCTCTAGTTTTAGTTCTTTGAGGAATCTCCACACTGATTTCCACAGTGGTTGCACAGTCTACACTCCCACCAGCAGTGGAGAAGGGTTCCTTTTTCCCCACAGCCCCTCTGGCATTTGTTATTGGTTGATTTCTTGATAGCAGCCACTCTTTGGGGGAAGAGGTGGAATCTCAGCATTGTTTTAATTTGCATCTCTTGAATGACCAGTGATGTTTAAACATTTTTTCATATATTTAGTTGCCGTTTCTAATTCTATATCTGAGAAGTGACTCTTTATTTCAGGTGCTCATTTTCTGTTTGGTTGGTTGGTTGGTTGGTTTTTTAGGTACTAGGGATCAAACTCAGGACCCTGTGCTTGCAAGGCAGGCGGTGGAACACTGAGGCAAACCCCCAGCCCTTGGTGCCCATTTTTGTATTGGGTCTTTAAATTTGGGGGGGTATCTGATGTTTTGAGTTCTTTATATATTCTAGATAATAGTCCTTTATCGGAAGAGCTGGCAAAAAATTTTTCCTACTCTGGGTTGTCTTTTCATTCTGTTGGTGGCTTCTCTTGGCTGTGCAAAAGCTTCTTAGTAAGATGAGGTCCCAGTTGTTGTTCTTTGTAGTATTTTCTGTGTGGTCTGGGTTTTGTTCATGAAGTCTTTGCCTACTCCTGTGTCCTCAACTGTTCTACCTATTCTCTCTTCCAGCAGATTTAGTGTTTCTGTTTTAATATTTAGATCTTTCATCCATTTCAATTTTAGGTTAGTGTGTGGTGAAAGATATGGTCTAGTTTCAGTCTTCAGCATGTGGAAAGCCAGTTTTTCCAGCACCGTTTATTAAAGAGGCTTCTTTGTCAAAGGTAAGGTGGCTGAGTGTGTTTGGAGTTGTTCCTGCATCTTCCAGCCTGTTCCATTGGTCCTCAGGTCTGTTCTTTTGCCAGTACCATACTGTTTTTATCACAGTAGCTCTGTAGTATAATTTCAGGTCAGGGATTGTGATACTCCCGGCCTTGCCTTTGTTGCCCAGAATTGCCTTTGCTAATCTAGGTCTCTTCTGGTTCCAAATGAATTTTAGGATTGATTTTTCTAATTCTGTGAGATATTCTGTTGGGATTTTGATTGGGCCCTTTTTTATTTTGTTTTGTTTTGTTTTGTTTGTTTTGTTTTTTTGAGACAGGGTCTTGCTGTGGAGTTCATGCTGGCCTTGAACTCACTATGTGTCAATCTGCCTGTGTCAGCCTCCTGAATGCTGGGATTACAGGCATGCACCATCATGCCCGGCATCCCTTTTTTATTTTGACACAAGATCTTACTAAG